CCCCAAAACCCCAAAACCCCAAAACCCCAAAACCCCAAAATACCTTATAATTATTGAATATTATAAAATGGAACCAGAGATTCCTGCAAAAGATGCCTATAATTTTGTGTATTTCACCTTCCTTGCATTAGGAATGGCAATCTTACTGCCTTGGAGCTCCTTGGTAACAGCACTGGATTATTTTATTGTCAAACTCCCAGGTCATGATGTTGATTTCGTGGTATCAATCTTATCCAATGGGCCTTTCTTTGCTACTAATGTACTGATGATCATTTTTGGGAAATGGTTTGGAGTTAAAAGAGTGGTTGGTATTTGAATGATGCTGATGATGGTACTCACCTTGGCATTACCCCTGATCCCACAGGTTGCTGGTAGTGAAAGTGCTTGGATATGGGTAGTCAGTATTATCATCACAATATCTGCAGTCAATGGAGTCATGCAGTGATGAGCGTATGGACTTGCGGGGTCATTGGCAGATCATAATATAGCAACTTTAAATACAGGTATAGGCCTGAGCGGACTTACTGTAAGCATTGCTAGAGCGATATCTCTGGTTTTCTTCCCTACAGATGGAACATCAGAAAACGAAAATTTCTTCTATGGTGCTATTATGTACTTTGCAATAGGTGGCGTTTTCTTGATTATTGGGGTAATCTTGCTTGTGATTCTTCCCAAAACAAGATATTATCAATACCATATTGACGAAGAAGAAGGTAAGTGGCCTTGATTCACTATTTAATTTCTTAAAGATAAAGAATATCTGGCCTGTCTAGGACGTGGTGATTCTCCGGTTACAACTCCACTATTACCAGATAATTCATATAAAAACGTTGAATCGTTTTCCCACATGATGAAGATCCACAATGAGCTCTTAATCACTGGCTACGGGTTTACATTTATTTATATCCAGACTTTTTGAGTATATCCTGCTGTATTATTAAAAGGTAACCTTTCCTTCCTTAACTCAAAGTCTTGGGAAGTATGGCTTATCATCACTATTTTCTGCCTCATGGATACTATTTCACGGATTATTTCTGAAAAATTGATGCTTTTGACACACAAGACTACAGCTCTCTTCACTATGTAAGTATTGAACTAACTTGTAGGCTCCGGTGGGTCCCGATCATATTCTGATTCTTTTCAGCCTATGAGGTCCCTTTCTTCAGCCTAGATGCATTCAAGTTGGTAAATCTAGTGATTATTGGGTTTTCGAATGGGTATATTGGTAACTGCCAGATCATGGTGAGTGTAGATAAAGCTAGTGCTGAAGAGAAAGAAATCACCGCCAAGTTCTTATCAGCATTTAGAATTTTGGGTGTATTAGTAGGAAGCCTGGTGTCTTCATTTGGAATCGTTCATATGTTTTAGAAATTACACTCGTCAATTTTGAAAATTCATTTTGGGGTTTTGGGGTTTTGGGGTTTTGGGGTTTTGGGG